CTGCGAATGCGCTTGAGTCAAATACAGCAGTAAAACGCCTACAGTTCATGCGGAACAAAAGGAAATGTGCTTGTTTTCCTTTGCAGCCACTTACTCTCTCGCTTCCTCTTTTCCTGTCTTCCTAGAACTGGACAATCCCGAGGCGAGGGTGGCAGAGATCCACTCCATAGTGCACCGTCTCCCGGAGAAGAACCGCCAGATGCTGGAGCTTCTCATGAAACACTTGGCCAAGTAAGTTTAGGTGTTGACGCCCCCTTTTTACTGTGTTACAAATCCAGCAAAGACCTAAGAGGATTTCCATTGTAAAAACCACAACCCTGCTGATGGTAAAAAAGGCCTTAACGTCCCTTCATGTTTGCCCAGCTGAAAAGAGTGGCTTGTTTTCCTTCACCTGTGCTTTCCTCCATCTCTTTCCCCAGCTCCATTTTCTTTTGTGCGAGTTTAATTTGACACCCTGACTGCCGAGCTCTGCAGAGCCACTCCTCTGTGACGCTGGCAGCTCGAGGAGTATTTTGGAAGTTTACGGAGAAAGTCCACTCCAAAGTGAAAATGCTTTACACAAAGCAGCTTTCTGCAAAAGATCAGATTCATAATCCGAAAGAATTACAGGAAGTAGAAGTTTAATACCTACTTTGCTTGTCCTCAGGACAAGTTTGGAAATTATGTTGTAGTGTGGAATGAATAGTTTCATCGGACAGTAGCAGTGAAAAACAACAGCTGCTGCATAAGGTTAATTGGGACTCATTTAATATTGACGGTATGCTGATTAGAAGAAATAATTTCTGTAAAGGTTTTACCTTGGGTTCTGTTGACACTGAATCATCATTTACAACAATTGTGTAAAAGTCGTTAAATATCTGACCAGATGGCTGAAAGTTTGCAAGTTCAAAACCCTAAAAAAGTAATACCATTAAAGTCCACATGAAATGAACAAAATGGTATTTCCTGTGTTGACATATTTCCTAATGAGACAGGAAGTTGAAGTGGGGCATATCAAATGCTTTGTCCTTTTTTAATTAGACAGTAGCTTTAGTTTAAAACCTGTTGTTCACTGTACAGTCTTGCTTGCTATTTATTTATTTATTGAGTATCATTTGATGTATCAGGCTTTTATGGCTCATGATATCAGATAATTGGTTGCTGATATTTATATGCCCATAAAGTAAGATGAAATTCAAATAGCTTGTAATGTAATCAATGAGATCTTTATAACAGTATAGAAGACTACTTACATAAAATGCATATAAATATTAGTTGCCTCTCTATATCTCCCAATAATATGTCCTAGTAAGATTATATTTAGATCTTACCAAAGCTCTGTAGTTTTATTGTGGGGGGCAAAACATACAATGCATTACAATACAATGATTGAGAAATGAACAAATAAACGTTCCTCAAAAGCCTGATGTGCGGATAAGTTTGACACTTATTATAAAACAACATAAAAGTTAAAGGGTTATTTGTTTGTTTTTTTTTTTTTTTTGTCATCTTTTACTCGCCCTCATGTTGTTCCAAACTTGTATGATCCATAAATGAGATATTATACATACAGTATTCAATAATAGAAACTGCTCTTTTTACTTGTAAGCTTTTCTATTTTCTAAATGTAAGTTATTGATATTTTTGCAAATTGAAATATGTAACATGATTCAAGTAACATTTTCTTTAATAACCATCTAGTTAAAGAAAGTTCTATTCCAAGTGCATCACACATGAGTGCTCAACACGGTGTAAATGTAAAACTAATTTACTTGTTAAATATCTTTGCAGAAAAGATGCATGAAATGTGATGGCACATATTGTACAAATTTCATTGCGACTTTAAAGTATCATAAACGCAGTCCACTATAGCATGTTAGCATGTTTCCTAAATATCTGCAAACTAGTGCTGTCAAACGATTAATCGCGATTAATCGCATCCGCAATAAAAGTTTTTGTTTACATAATATGTGTGTGTGTACTGTGTATATTTATTATGTATATATATAAATACACACACATACAGCATATATTTTGAAAATATTTACATGAATTTACATGTATATATTTATATTCATAAAATTGATATTATATATAAATATATTTAATGTATAAACGTAACATATTTTTCTTAAATATATGCATGCATGTGTGTGTATTTATATATACGTAATAAATATACACAGTACATACACATATACTATGTAAACAAAAACTTGTATTTTGGATGTGATTAATCGCGATTAATCGTTTGACAGCACTACTGCAAACATATGATATTTTTATGCTTTAGTACAGTCAAAAAAATTACATACAGCATCTTTAAAGATATTTAAAAGTGATTTTACAATACTTTAATAGGAGTAAATTCACAGTTAATTTACAATACCATTTTTACAGTACATATTTATACTTGCTGTGTTGCAGGAAACATGAGAACCAATTAATTTATCATTAATATTTCACATTAAACTGACCGTGATTCGTGCTTGAATATTCAGACAAGCAAATGAGATTTAAGGGGTTTTGATAGAGGAGAGGATATTCTGTGTGATGTGAAATATGTATCTAATTTCAGTCTGTTTGTCACACATAGCTATCGTATGACTTCAGACTTGAAATAGAGTGTATATGAGTCATAGGGACCTTTCTTTTTGGTGTCTTTTGGAGCTTGACAGCCACTGGTAGCAGATTTATAGCTGTCATACAGTATTTTTGTATGGAAAAGAACAGCTTTTTCCATGGAGGAAAAAGTCAGGTTTGGAATGACATGAAAGTGACCAACTGATGGTCGAATTGTCATTTTATGACTAGACACGTCTGCGGGGTCATATCCTCCCAGGATCAGTAGCAACATTTCAGTCTGTTCTATTTTTGTGGAGACACTCATCCCATCATTGTGGCGCTCTGACATTTTCATGTTGATTTGAATTTCCTTTCGGCTCTGCAGATTTTCAAAGACATGCCAGTGTCTGGAGGAGGGCAGGGCAACTCCCAGCTCAACCTGCCCAGGCGGAGGAGTGCAGACAGCAACGCCCCGTCCTGCAGCGAGAGACCCCTCACTCTTTTCCACACCCCCTCATTTTCAGAGAAAGACAAAGGTACACCAGCAGGTGCTTACTTTGGAACATCTAAAATGATGATAATTCTTTAAGACTAAAAATTATGCTAGAATACTTTTTTTTTTTTTTGTCATTTAACATTTAATTCGTTTCATTCATTTGATATTTCTTGTATTTATTTTTTAAACAATTAATACGCATTTATTATCATTATTTATGCAAAGTTGAATAAAAAAAAAAGTATTTCTAAGGGTACTTTCTTATGTCATATTCCAAAAATATTCAATGCTTTACTCATTTAATACAATAATGAAAAAAATATATATTTTGATGTGTGATTAATTTGCGATGTCCTGCAGCGAGAGACCCCTCACTCTTTTCCACACCCCCTCATTTTCAGAGAAAGACAAAGGTACACCAGCAGGTGCTTACTTTGGAACATCTAAAATGATGATAATTCTTTAAGACTAAAAATTATGCTAGAATACTTTTTTTTTTTTTTGTCATTTAACATTTAATTCGTTTCATTCATTTGATATTTCTTGTATTTATTTTTTAAACAATTAATACGCATTTATTATCATTATTTATGCAAAGTTGAATAAAAAAAAAAGTATTTCTAAGGGTACTTTCTTATGTCATATTCCAAAAATATTCAATGCTTTACTCATTTAATACAATAATGAAAAAAATATATATTTTGATGTGTGATTAATTTGCGATTAGTTCGATAAAGTAATCGGCACATGATGTAATTAATTAAATTCAACTTTTGACAAGCCTAATATATACAGTATATATGTTTAATCGTAAATGTTTTTTTATAAACATCTTTTAAACATAATTTTTACAAACAAAATATTTATGAAAATGTAGTTTAATGTGATTCAAAAGGAAATCCTGAAGATGTTTGGTTCCTCTCAGGAGTTTATTTACATTGGATTTACTGTACATATCTAAACTTTGAAGGAGGAAATTCAGTTCCTGGTCTATAAACTGTTGTGCTACAAATACCAATGCAATTAATTATTTAAATAGTTTCAGGTTTCAAGTTGGCACACCAGACAGACCAGACACCACCCTGTTTGCAATTACTTTTGCAATAAACATTTTGCTGCCAACCCCTTCTGGGCATGTGACGAGTAAACTAGTCCCCAGTATTAGATCCCATTCAGTTATTGTCTGAAATAACTAGCAATATAACTTGAATTGCTTATTGAAATACAAACCGTCATTCAAATAAATTCAAACCACTAGATCCCACCAAACCCCGTTTTAGCCACAGGCTGGAGTAATTACATTAGCACACTATTAACTCTTCATTAGGATAGCAACATTTCTGCTTTTCCATCAGCAGTGGAGAAGAGGAACAGTGTGGTTGTAAACTCCAGTGCAGACTTGTCATCAGTAAATTGCAACAGCACACTCAGCTGGACTCGACTCGACAGCCTGCCCACTGGAGACGGAGACCACGATGGGCTTCAGCTGCCCAAGCAGAGTCGGCCTAATTCACTGTAAGTACTTTCTTTAAAGCTAAAGTGAGTTAAAATACTGTCTCCTGTTCTTTTGTTGCCTGTTTATTTGAGCGTCACGGCCAGCCCAACACAACATTAGCCGAACCAATGCCATGAATTCGTTCAACCAACAGAAGGTAGGGGGAGTGTTCGGGAAGCTTAACTCTTTCCCCACCAAACGGAATTTTTCGGGTTTCCGTGTTTTCACTGTTATGTGCTCGGGGGTGCTATTACACATCTCCTGAATGAGTCCACAATCTCCCGATCAAAAACACACACTAGGAAGACGCAGAAACGAGCGATATCATATGTAAGCAGATGCATATGAAAAATAATGAAATCATATACATATGAAATCAACAATAAACAGCATATAAATGAAAACTGCCTAATGTTACCGAGTGAAGTGGCGATCCCGGAAGTGGTAAAGGACTGTGAAGCTTTGGGGGTGTTGATGGAAGCGATCTACTGCATCTAGTATGCTTTGATCATCGAACTGAATATGATCCAGATGTAGTCTTTGATAAAAATGCGATTTTCTCAGCTTTTTGATCAAAATGTTGCTTTTTTTCATGAAACCTACCTACATTCAAGTGTTGATAAAACAAGAATGCTTGAAGCTAGAATAAAACTGATTTTTTTTTTGTTGTTTAAAAGTAGACGCTCTGTTCTTTATTTTGATGTATTGCATGTTCAAATATTCATACAACAAAATATTTTTTTGTGAAAATGATCAAAAATGTTGGCGGTGGCTGACAACTTTTTCAAAAACGCTGGCGGGGAAAGAGTTAAAAGCCATAATTTTCAGTTATCAAACCAAGCAGCTTTCTGTTTCGTGTGACCAACTTAAACATGACTGAAACCTGAACTTTTTCCGCCCTCACTTGAAACTCCAGATCACACAGATTCCTATTGAAATGACTGGGTTTTGCCGAACAATGGTACATGTGACCATACCTTTAGTCAGGCTTTCTTGCACCAAAAAGTAGTCATAATCTAGTTTTGCTTGACCATTATTTTCTCCGACCTGTAATGCACATTAAAGACATAAATATATAAATGACCTCTGGCCAGATGTTGAATGTATAACAAGCACAGCTCAATATGTGCATGCACTCATTGCTTTGTTGTTGGTTCAATGTTAGAGCATGTCTACATACAGTAATAGATAAAACTTAATTGATCATCTTTTATTTCCAAAGAGAGCAAGAAAAATCCTGTTTTCCTTGATACATCACCTTCAAATACAAACACACACTCTCTCCCAAGGCCTGCAATAATGCTTTTCCCCACTGCTGGTTTTCTAACAGGACACACTGTTTGCTGTACACATGTCACTGTCTCTGGTGGGCCATGGGTCTGTAATGGATTTTTAAACCACTATCTTGGGCCCATTTTGAGGGCTCTTAGCTGTGCACAGAATAGGGGTAGTTTTTTTTCTGCTGTTTCACTATAGCATAAGCACAGACATAGCAAATGTTTGCTCCACTCTGAATGACAAGGACAAACATACAAAATGGCCACCCAGTCTCCATGTTCACAAGAACTCAGTGAAACACACTCATTACTTTGCTGTTTTTGGAAACCTATTAGAAATCTGAATGCAGGCAGTTTTCTCAGAAAATTGTACTTTGCTGACCAAAGGTCAGTTTAAAGTTTTCAAAAAAGTTTGCATTTTATTAGTGGTGTTTGATGAGGCAAGCATTTCTATTAATATTGCTCATAATTTAGATTTGAAGAAAGCTCTAATTCTAAATATTACATTTTAGCACGTACTGCCACTTATCCTGCACTGTATGTGCTACTGACATCTTAAATTCATGTGGCTTATTGGGGTGATGTTTGCCATTACTTTTCTATGCAATGGGACTTGTGAAAAGAAGCAAATGAAGGAGAGTTTTGAGCCATTTCTTCAGACCAGAATATGATATAACCAGAAGCTAATATTTAGAGTCTAATAAAAATGTGATCAACATACATGCTACCTGTATAAGGTCCTCTTATCAAAGTACTGAAATGGGTGTTCCTCAGGGGTCATTATTGGGACCACTTCTTTTTACATTATACTGCATATTAATGTTTTACCTGAATTTAAAATGTATGCAGACAATACAGTTATTTATGTATCAGCAAAGACCTCAAATACAATTTTGTATACACATTTTGTATGATTAGACCTTACATATAAAGTAAAACAGCCAAGTTATATATGTATGCACTGGATTTTTTTTCTTATCTCTCATAATGTGTCACTATTTGGAGTCAAGCTCCTCATTCTGTTATTATGCCAATAATATCTCTATATAAACAGGTAATATATAAACAAAGTCAATGATGTGGCATTGTTGGAAAATAACAAGAACAAAAGCTGTTTACTGTTAACTGTTTTATACATTTCTCATGTTTTGAAAATAATTTAAAAAATGTAAGTGGTTTTACTCTTAAGGTTATTTGTCAATTAATAAGGAAACAAGAGAAAAGGGCACATACCAAGATGCAGAACAGCCTTGGGGCAGTCATAATTTTCACTGAAGGGAGTGCACTCATGGAATGCTTCACCAATACAGTTTAAAAGACAAACCAAATTAAAACAATTCTGTAAAGCTATTAAAATATAGTAAACAGAATCAATCTTTTTCAATCATTATTTAGGGTTTACATAACTAGTTCATTAGTTATTGTTGATTTTTATTCCCATATATATTGTATTGCCATGTTTTGATTTGATGCTAGATTTGTATTCATTTATTTACTTTTCCTGTTTTTAAAATGTGTTTTGAATTTTAGATTGATTATTGGTTGTTGTATTTCTTAGGACAAGTGCTGTAAATTATCTATTAACTAGAAGCATATAGAACATCAGCTGTAGTGTGTAATTAATAATACATTAAATAAATAAAGTAGAGACATAATAGAGCAATCATGTACAGTGGCCTTAGCAGCCACTCAGAACACCCTAGTAATCGCATAACTATGCCTTTGCAAGAACACAATAAATTATTAGTATCTGAAATTAATAATGAAATCTTTGTTACTATTTGATAATTTTGTAGATCTTTATGGTCTTGTACATAGTTTTAAGTTGTAGCTTTCATTTCAGGGTCAAAAGGGCAGGTTTTATCAGGGACTGAACAACGTTTTGATACAATCTGCGTTTCATTTCATTACCTTACATTGGCTACAGTCTTTGCTTGCTTTGAGGTTTTATTATGTGAACGGAAATAATCAAACCCAGCACAATTTCCTGCCAACATATTTACTGTCGAGAGCCATGACTACTGAGGTCTTGATTTTAACCGGTGTTCCCCATGATTCTGTCCTCGGCCCTCTCCCAACCTCACCCTACCAGCAGGAGTTCACGCTTCACGTGGTTTCACGTGGAAAATAATTGTGCTGTGTAAAAGTTTATTCCTGTGAAATACACTCACAATGATACCAAGATTATTGTGAAAAAAAGCAAATCTCTTCTGGCCTCCAAACATTTATAAATACTGTCATAGAAATATGTCCCTCTCTGTACATCTTACACAAAGTCATTAATCAGTCTCAGGGCAAGACAAGACATGTTCTGCTTTGAATTGGCTGAAGTAGCAGGTAGTCTTGCAGTGTTGCCATGTCCGCTTATTATAAGCAACTTGGGCTTTTTCCTCCCATAACGTCACTTATAAATATAAGAAGTTGCAAGTTGCATTTTTGGGCTTATTTTTCAAGAATGCAGATACACACTGTATTTATAATTTAGTTTATTTCACCTTCCTCCTTTTTAATATGTTTCATGCAGGTTTATAATTATGAAATTAATCAAATTCGCAATCTATTCTTGACCTGTATTTTGATGAGCCAAGTTGCTTATTTTTGCAAACCATGCAAATAGCACTGCCGAATCTGCCATGTTTAACAGAGCAAGCAACCATACTCCATGATTTCCCAGATTCAAAGGTTGCACAAGCCAGAAACACACACAAGAACATACATAATGAGAAGCAAACAGAGAACGGAGTATCAAGTGTGAATGCATAATTAATAAGCATGTATAATGTAGATTTTATTGATCTAATGTGTGAATTCTGGGTATTTGGTTAAACAATGCTAATATTTTTATTTAGAGATATTTCACCATGGCCTTATTTAAAGGGAAAATAAGAAAGAAAGCCAGCTGCTACAAGTGAGTGATAGCTTTGTATTTCTCTCACTGATAAGAAGGTTTATATGAGAATCAGTTATGTGGATAGCAGGAAACTTTTGACCGTGGAGGTAGGAGACTCAGTGTCTTTTCAAAAAAAGTATGCAAGACAGTAGAAAAAAAACCCCCAAAGAAATATCACAAAATGTGAGATTAAATGATGTGCAATACAACTCATTTTTATAAAGTAACACTAATATTTCAGAGGGAGAAAGCGACTCTTCCTACTCTCTTGAGCTCATTGTGCTCTCCATTGAACCCCTGAAGCATGACGTGAATGTGAGTAGAGTAACTGCAAAATGTAGGTAAAACATGTATCAATGATACAATGCCTGCCTTCATGCTTGCAGCCGGTCCACAGATTGGCCTAAATGGATCACAATCTTGTGGCTATTTATAACTGTTTTATGTGTTGGTGTATAAATCTCCTTCATATGTTTTTGTACGATTTGCTTATGCCCTGGTGACAGCTATGTTAGGGGTGGACCTTTTTTTTTCTAAAAATTGTATTCAAAAAATTTTAGAAAAATAATTCCCATTCTATGAATTCATACAAAATCTCCATCTTTGTAAAATAGTTACTCTTTAAAGCGAGTTGTTTGTTGACAAAGGGCCCAAAAGAAGATGACTAATAAAAATAATGGACAAACAACAGTTGTAACAAATAAAATATACACAATGTACCGAGACTTGCTACTGCCAATACATCCACAACATGCTGCTGTAAGCATGTAAGAAATACTGCTGCTGCACATATAACACATATGAATAACCCCCATATAGCATACATGAATCACCCCATAGCAGATCTATACAG